AGTTTAGACAATATAAATATCACAACATATTCTAATCAAGTATAATCAAATCTAATATTTATTTCATGAAGATTTCATACAGTTTAGACAATATAAATATCACAACATATTCTAATTTAGTATACATAAGATACTTTTGAATTTGTCTGTGATTCTATCAAATTATTATCTAACCAAAGCTATTGGCATGCTGTTGCAACCTTGTGACCAAAAATCCTGTTAAATCGCATTCCCAAGGTTCCAAGTGGTTGTTAAATGCTCAAAAGTTTAGGACTTTCCTGATTTATTACAGGATAAGCTGTATAAAAGGAGAGGAATAAGGATGAGCGGGGAGGGGTAAATTATCCTCAGATTGCGACGGGAGAATTCAAGGAAAAAAGACCCTGAAAGTTAAAAGCGACGATTTAATGTGACCCATCAATCTTATTTTACATATGTGGAAGATATCGTCATTTTCCTGACTTGAAAAGTGTTTATTTCTATGAATTTCTCCATTGCTTCTTATATTCCAGAAATATGCAAGTTACTTTCACAGGGAAACCGCAAATGAAAATAAACCTGGTTTAAAGAAGCAAAAATATTGATATATTATTCATATTTCATCAGACAAGACAATTGTAAATCGTGCACGTATCGCGCGCTATCTTTGCATGAAGGGTCATTTGAACTTACGTTAAAAGTCCCATTTAACGCGTTCGAAATTTTGTAAAATGACTGGTTAGGTGAGATAAGTGGACGGTATAATCTATATATTATACAATATACATAATATATAGCATTACACACTTGACCTATAAATACTCCTATACTTTGGGGGAAGGGGGGAGGGGGGTTACGACTTTTAAACCTGTATCTTCATCAATCGTTAATATGTTTTAATACTAATATTGTGAGTGGGAAGTTGACAAAAGGGATTCTGAACGTTAAAGATGGCAAAATATCAAACTCTAGAATATAAATAGAAAATTCATAAAAACTTTAGCAACAAATCATTACACGGGCAGCCGTAGTACATTTGAATTTCCGAGCAGGGTCAACCTTTCCGGTCCCATTTTGTACTGTATCGCCTGGGTAAATAAAGCAGACACTAAATAGGACCAGCCTGTGCAACAAGATTGACGCAGTCAGACTTTAGGTTGAATCTACTTTTACTAAAGGGTCAGAGGTGCGTGATTAAAAAGTCGTCAAGATTGCGCTTGAATAAAGTCCCGTGAAACTGGTTGAATATGAGCATACGTGAGGTCTAGAGGAACCCCGGGGTAATATATCTTGGATCCTGGAATCCTCGGGGTAATGTTTGATCTAGATATTAAACAGGAGATTGTTTCAGTTTATACCAGTTCGGGACAATCTCAAATATTTATTGGTTTAATTGTACTTTCACCAAATCATCATACTTTGTTATTTTTCCTCTTGAGATGCTCATCTAGACTCAAACTTCATAAAGAACCTTTATTATACATCGGAACTTTATAAGGAATATTATTATGATTATTATATTTACCTTTATAAGATTGTTTAATCAATCAAAGGATGTATTTTCAAGTTTGTCAAATTAATTACATTTCCTGTGTCATTATAATACAATGAAGGAAAGTGTTAAAAATACATTTTTTACGGTACGTTGGTAGATTTCAGAAGATTCAAATTAATTTTTGAGTAAAAAAAAGAAATTAAGCATTTGCAACATTATTGTAAAAAAAAACTAGGAAATAAGATGGAAACCGAAAGGATTGCAAACCTTTAATATTTTCCCAGGCATATGGCCTAGTTTACCAGGCAGTCTCCCATACTATTGGTTGGTTTCTGGATTTATAAGGTTAGATTGAGGTTTCTTTATTGGTTTATGGTTAAAACTTAATTAGATTTCTAGTCAATTTTTATTTCTATTCTCTAAAAATAAAGATGCTTAAGTTTTCCAAGAAAAAAATTGAAAATTTGAATTAATTCAAACTCAAATTTATTGTCGCATATATGTAACCCACTTTAAAAGTGGCATGATCTGAGCTGTAACAATATGTACTGTACATGATCCGAGTTCTAACAATATGTACTGTACATGATCCGAGTTCTAACAATATGTACTGTACATGATCCGAGTTCTAACAATATGTACTGTACATGATCCGAGCTGTAACAATATGTACTGTACATGATCTGAGCTGTAACAATATGTACTGTACATGATCCGAGTTCCAACAATATGTGCTGTACATGATCCGAGTTCTAACAATATGTACTGTACATGAATTCACTCGATCGTACTGCCCAGTATTGACACCCTAGTGTAGAGTCGACCTAGCACGCTTTACGCAAGGTTATAATGCAAGGAAAGTTATTTCAGAGATGTACGCATATTTTGTACTGCAGTTCACTGTCTCTGGGTGGTAATGTAAACAAAAAACGGATGTCACAGCCTGACATGGGATCCATCTTTCACTTAAAAATTCAATGAAATATTCTGGTCATATTATGTGATTTTTCAAGATTTTCGAAATTCAATGCTTTTATCCTGCATCGGATACTAAACGAACACTGATACATCTATTCTTGTTTACAAATTCCGCCCAGAGAGAACTGGTTTCAATATGTACGCAGAGTATACGCAACTGCAATTAACTTTCCTTGCATTATAACCTTGATTTGACGCTACACATCTAGCCTTGCAAGATCACAGTGATATATAATTGTTACCAATCATTAAAAAAATGTATCTCCATTATTTTTAAAAAATTAAGAACTTTATTGGATTTCATTACATTTGTGAATCTAATCACTGCAAAGAAAGATGATTGAGGTTTTCTAGAAAATTTTCAAAGACTGAAAAAATTAATAGAATCAAACTCAAATTTATATACATATAAAAAAATATAATCAATTTATTATTCAATCAAAAACAGAATTACATCCTCAAGACACGGCGTTTCATGGAGTTGCTCCAATCTTCAGTGAGGTTTGTTTTGTCTGTTTTGTACGATATGTATATATATGTAATAAAAACCCTTTTTCATTTATATCTTTGTAACCCGTAAATATTTAGTTCATCCTCCCTAGTTGCGGTCAACTTATTTACCTGCACCTTCTTAAATCTAAATATAGACAGTTCAACACAGATTTTTGTTATTTACTGATCGTATATATCTGGACAGGTATAGAGGATAGAGTTTGTGATAGATTAAAACTGCGCATTTAAGCTGATAAAGACTAAGAAGGAATTTAGGCATTTATATATATTTTATAAATTTATATATATATATATAAATACGGAACAGATCTATAAAGTCAAAATACCCTGGCTCGACATTTTTTTAAAAAGGAATTGAGTCTTAACCAGAAACTCAATTTTCTCATCCCTTTATCTTTGCAACTTGATGCTGTAAACATTTGATACTCCAAACTTAGATTTATTGATTTGACAAGATTCATAGATTGTAGTATCTATGGTCTAGGTATTGGGTTACAAAGATAAAGCGTTTAGCCAATCATAGTGTGTGGAAAAAAATCAAGTCCTCTATCTACATTATTTCTGAAATGTTCGAAGCCTTTCAAATGGTTGGTTTGATTTTATTTATAATCAAATCAAGTATAAGAAAGAAATCTAGCTTTATATACTTTCTTAACTGGATGGCTTATCTCAATCAGAATTTAAATTTAATAGAAAGTAAAACTGCTCATACACAAGTTATTATCAAGGTTTTATTATCTCAAATATATATTTTTTCTTCTTTATATGCTGGTTAATTAGTCATTAAGTTCTCTGTTTTAACACGACGCTCTCTCTCTTTTAATAAATTATAAATCGTTAAATTTTAAATTCATCTATTTTGTACATTTTATTTGAGTATAAGTTAACAAAGAGAATACAATTTAATAAATGAAATGGTAGAAAAACGAGATTCTATTTTGGATATTTTACCTCTATAGAAAGAGGATGAAATAAATATACATTTAAAATAATTATTTTACTAAAGATCAACCACCACAGTGCCAATTTGGCGTACTTTGTTATACATTCAACCCTTGAATGTAGAAAAGAGATTTAACCCGAAAAAATACATTCATACATTTTGTAAACACATTGGTATATTACCTACCAGCTTTATACAAACTTACATTTGAAACAATTATACTAGTTCACATACAAATTCTAAAAAATACATATTGGAGAATTGTTTGTTTTTTGTTTCTTTATAGTCAGGTGTGTGAGTAAGGGAGGGGGATACAAGAAGATCGTCATGCTGCGTCGTAAAGTGGGATGGGGGGGGGGTAGATATTTTATCACAGGTGTAGCTCAACTTCTCCCTAGTCTTTCAGTCCCAAGAATTCATCTCTTAATTCAAGTTAGCTGAAATAAAAATTTTAATTAGAAAACAAAATTTTCTAAAAATATTAAATTAAAATTTTAGAAAAAAAGAAGTTATGTCTTACCCCTGATGTTGTCGATGAATGAGTTGTAGACGCCAGCAACAAGCTCAGCGATGAAAGGATCAACACCTAGATCTTCACCGAGGCTACGACCAGTAGGGGCGGGGAACACGGTGGGACCAGCAGGATTACACAGGGTCAAGCTGAAGGGGGCTAGAATAGCATTAACAATAGGGGCCTTCAGGTCCAGGGCCATGGGGAACAGACCCAGAGCGACAACGGCGATGGAAGCGAGGAAGGGAGCGACGAGTTTGGCAAGGATGATGGCGATGATGATGGCAGCGGCGATGGCGGCAATGATTGCGATTGTTCCAAGATCGAATCCAGGCTCCTCTACAGCTCCGTAGCTGTTGTAATCATATCCTGAGTCGTATTCAGTGGGAGCAGCATAAGAAGCATCTCCAGTGGGAGCGCCGTATCCCCCAGTGGGAGCAGCATATCCTCCGCTTGGAGCAGAGTAGCTAGGAGCAGCGGCTTGGTAGGCGGGAGCAGAGTAACTGGGAGCAGCAGCCTGGTAGCTAGGAGAGGGAGCAGAGTAGCTGGGAGCAGCAGCAGCAGGAGCTGCATATCCACCATCAGCGTCAGCAAAAGCTGCCCCAACAAGAAGAGGTAGAACCAGGAAACACTTGAGACTCATGATCTAAATAAATATCAAAGAAACATGTGCGTCATCTAGTGGATCACTGTAAAGCACTGTGTGTGAAAGAGTTTGTTTTAACAAGTTATTATGCTTCTCTACCCCTTTAACTATTTGACATGCAACCTAGGGAAAGTTATATTTCTTTGTATTGCCGAGAGTGATGTAAAACCAAGAGAAATCAGTAAGAGTTCCAAAGTGTTCTGTTTAGCCTAAAACTTGTTCTATATCATGCATGAAACTTCTAAAACTGAATTGTGTGTATTTATCAGATCGTTTATACCCCCCATCATAATCTGATTTACCCCCCTCCTATTTATCAGATCGTTTATACTTCCCATCATAATCTGATTTTCCCCCCTCCTATTTATTCCCCTACGATTTTCCATCACTGAAAAATTGTTGATTCAGTTTAGCATATGATATTTAGATGTTCTTGTATTCCTATATCCCTGTATCCAATGCACAGTTTAAGTTCTCAAGTAAAACAAGATTCTAATTCGCCCACTTGCTCAATTTCACAAATGCTAAAAAGTATAAAATGTGTGATAAATCAGCACAGATTTTTATATATTTGTATATTTTTGCACAATTAACCATTCTAAAGTTTTCCTTGAAAAGGTATTAGATTTGTAAAAGATGTCCTCCCTTTAAGACAAAAAAGGAAATTTCTGATAGGATTTGAAACATCTGAGAGGTTTGTTAACACACCTGTACTGGTTGAGGATCTGATTTGAACTGAGGAAAGTTGAACTTGTTAGACCTAAGCTCAGAGAAGACCCAGGCTCTCAGACCACTCACAGGAGGGGTAAATATACGTCACAACCTAAACTTAAAACAATCTAACGTCAAATTTTTTATTTTCAAAAATCCATCAATAATTTTTGAAAAAATGCGGGAAATATTTTTCTTAATGAAAAGTGAAAATACGCTGGATACCTTGCCGCCCACGGCTCCAAACTGAAAATGGGGTCCGTAGATTGTAAAAAGTACGAGGATAGTTTCGACTTCTTATATCGTTTTTGGACAAACCATATATTTTCCTTTAAAGAATTATTTGATTTGAAACGAAGTGTCCTGTTTCTTGTGTAAAGTTGTATAGATCTCTAGCAGGACGGATTTACAAGACAAGAACTTGTGGAACGTGGGTGAAAGTATACAAGGTTAGTCATTTATACTCTACACACCTTATACAATACTGGAGATAGATGACCCAACCCTTTACACACCAAACCATCTACTCATCAAACCTTCTACTCATCCAGCCCAACCTTCTACTCATCCTACCCAACCCTCTACTCATCCAACCCAACCCTCTACTCTTCCAGTCCTCTACTCATCCTACCCAACCCTCTACTCTTCCAATCCTCGACTCATCCAGCCCAACCTTCTACTCATCCAATTCAACCCTCTACTCATCCAACCTAACCCTATTCTCATCCAACCCTCTACTCATCCAACTCTCTACTCATCCAACCCAACCCTCCATCAATAAAAACATAAACAAACTAATTCTAAACTCTAGCAAACGAAGGATTACAGATTCTTGGTAGGTATCAAACATCATTTAAACGAGGCGAACTTTAATCATCACTCAATTCCGTTGTTTATTGGGACACTCTGTACTGTCTTTAGTTTTCTATGATAGATATATGATGCACAGTCAGGTGGAGGAAAGTCAGGATAAAATAACAAAACCATTGACCTTCACATTTAAACAAACTAAAATTGTAATTTAAAGCGCTTGTATTCTACCAAACATTAAAACTATATTCTGGCACAAAATCAAGACTAAAAATTCATAACTTTATTTATATCAAATATTCAACCATTCTTTGTAACTAAAAATTCGGTCTCCTTGAAAAAATTAGCAGTTTTTTTCCCCAAATGCACATCTATTATTGCCTAGGGGTACTATGTTCTTAGAATAATTTTCATCCATACTAAGTAACTTTTCGCAGGTTAATCTATGGCTATATTCAAGTCTGAACATCTGTACATGCATTTAACCTGTGGATCAGTATATTTAAGGAGTTTAGGTCGCTATCAAAATCTTGTAAATAATCCATTGGTTAATTGTTATTTTTAAGCATGAAACTAACTGTAAAATAAATGTAGTATTAAAAGGAAAGTTTTATTTAATAAATTAAAACTAAGTATTTAAAGAAAATTGTGAAAATAATTGTTCACAATTTTATAATTAATTTTATATCTTCCTTAATGAAATTTCACTTTTTAGACTTTGCTCATTATTTCACTTTCCCTTGTCATGTCAGTTCAGTGATTAATATTTGTGTAACTAATTGATGTTGTTAGCTGATAATATAATGGTCTGAGCAACCCCCAGGAACCTAATGCCATCTAATAAATATACCAGGCTTCAAGGGACTGTTTGCGTAGTTTCAATTGTAGTTTCAATTACAACCCATATATATATCGGTGTTTAAAAAATCAGAAATGCTTAATAACTTCTTTTGTTAATTAAGCAACAAGGATAACATTTATATATTTAAAAAGCCCTTGAAAATGGATGTAATAAAGTGTGTCACATGTTAATATTTGTCATAATTAAAAATAATTATATTTTGAACATTTTTCCGAAGTACTTTTTAGACTTTTTTAAATGCTCCCTTGCACCCTAACAATGAAAGTTGGAGGTATAATTTGTTTTATGAGCAGACCTTGACAAGTTTGGCTAAGGACATGCATCATATTCCCCTATCGCACTTCTAATGGCAAAATCAGGGGGGTGGGGGGTTGGAACTTTCCCTGCCACCCCAGCCTATATTAGACAAAAATAGCCCAGCCGGGATAGGGTTAAATCAATAATTTATGTCAATTTCGTTTGTTTAAAAATCAATTTTATCAATATATAAAACCTCAATTAATTTAGATTTCTTTTATACTTTTTATTTGTTTAGTTTGACCTTTTGTAAAGTATATGCTAAACTGACATTTACGTAGATTCCTAGAACCTTTCAATATCATCATAAACCGGGTTATCTCCACACATACAAAAAAGAAATAATTGGCAAAATATTCATCGATTTTTGCTTGCAAGCTTGCAAACTTTAAATCACAATGTCCAGATATATCCAGTATCATGAACCTGGTTAACTCTGAATATATCCAGTATCTTGAACCTGGTTAACTCTGGATATATCCAGTATCTTGAACCTGGTTAACTCTGGATATATCCAGTATCTTGAACCTGGTTAACTCTGGGTATATCCAGTATCTTGAACCTGGTTAACTCCAGATATATCCAGTATCTTGAACTTGGTTAATTCTGGGCATATCCAGTATCTTGAACCTGGTTAACTCTGGATATATCCAGTATCTTGAACCTGGTTAACTGTGGATATATCCAGTATCATGAACCTGGTTAACTCTGGATACATCCAGTTTCAACCTGTTTAACTCTGGATATATCCAGTATCATGAACCGGGTTAACTCTGGATACATCCAGTTTCAACCTGTTTAACTCTAGCTATATCCAGTATTTTGCATTGATTTTGATAAATCAATTTTCATAATTAAGTCTCCAGATTGAAAAATCCAGTAAAGAATTTGTGCGCTTGCTGAACATTTACAGACCATATAAACGTCTTATAGACCATATACAGGTCTCAAATGAATCCTAAAAAATTTATCTACAATATTTATTTATTTTAAACTTAAGCTCTTGATACAGTTGGATAAAAAATGCATTTAGCAGGTTTTTTTAAAAAATCAAGATGAACAAATATCCTAAATTGTCGAAATTTATTCAGATAAATTGATATCTTGACTTTGTTCCACTCTAATGTATCCAATAGAGGGAAGCTGGCCAGTTCGCTCTATTCTGATATATCTAGGTGTTGGGCTGGTATCCAGATCTTGCACTGTATTGATACATTCAGAGTTCAGGATATTAAATTCTTGTTCTGTTTTTGTAAGCCCAGTATGGTTAATGCATACTTCTTCATGTTTCATATGACAAGTTTCATAAATCTTTAGGTCTTGCTCTATCTTGATATATCCATGAAAAGTAGTATCTTGGTCTTGGGAACCTTCATCTCTCTGTATCCTGGTATATCCAGGAGATAGAATATCATGATTTTGTATCCTTGTGTATCCAGGATTAGAAACCCCTTGATTTTGTTGTATCCTTGTGTATCCAATCACTTGGCTATCTTGATTTTGATTTGAAGAAATTAAATCTTGGATTTCAGAAACTGCAGGCGTAGATAAGTCCTCAGAGTTATCTAAAGAATATTCATTATCTTTCACAGATATTATTGCACTATTGAATGCATCTTCATAATCATTATTATTGTTTCTGATACATCCTTTCCCGGGGTTTAGAGTTGAGATACCCACTTGGTTAAATTGAATATAAGTTGCAGGATCGAGAAGTGTAGATTCAGATTTAGATCTGAAATTATCTCTAAGTCCAGAAATATAGAGGGAGGAAGGAAATATATCTCTGGGTTTCCGTGTATACAGGGGGACTGGGAGATGTTCTTGGATTGTTGAACGTAGCTGCTCAAGTTGTATATATGGAGATGCTTCCGAAGCACAGTTTCGAACAGGTAGACGCTCTTTTATTATAGGTGAGAGCTGCTCCAAATGTATGTAAGGAGTTAATCCCATGTTAGGCAGACGCTCTTTTATTGTTGGCGCAAGCTGCTGCAGTTGAATATAAGAAGCTTCTGTCAGATGAAATGGTTCCGGAAAATAAATCCTGTCTTCTCCAGTTTCTTTTGTGTAGTTAAACTCAGTGTCCGCAGATAACAAGTTCTCCAATTGTTCTACTAAAGGTATATCTAGAGCTGTAGATGGTTTATAACTGTATCCGAGATCCAGTGTATAATCAAGACTAGATTTATTCCTGAGGTTATGTTTAGAAATAACAGATGTTAGATCCACGTATTCTGATATACTAGAGAGGGTTGAAGTATTAGCTTCGGTAACTTCTTTCCAATCCATAGAACATTCAGTATCAAATATCTCTAGAAAAAAATGTGTGAAATGGTTTAGCTTTTTTATGCTTTAATTAAAGGCATTTTTCTTGTAAAGTAATGAACAACAAATTATTCAGCAAAGAAACCGATTAATTTCATCAAACTCTAATTTTTTAATCTTTTATCTTTGCAACCCCGTAAACATTTGATATTTTAAACTTTGACTTTAAGATATGGCAGAATTCTAATTATTTGAAGTATCAAAATTCAAAGGTCTGTTCAGTTATCAAATATGTGAAAATGANGGGGTGTTTTCCATTTATAAAGTAAAAATATTTGCAAAAAATGCCCAAAAAATGATAAATGAAAACATGCAAATTCATTTTGACTTGTTGTATGAAAATAATTTGCAAAAATTTCTTTGCAATCTGTTTCCTTCTGTCATAGGCTTTTTAAAAATCTAAACATTATCCAAATCTGACAACTGAAAGTGGGCCAAAACAAAGATTTCGTTTGTTAGTAGTTATTCAGGCAGTGTGCCTGAGGACTCAGGCAGTTAGTATAAAAGCGCTGTTTTAGACCTAAAGAAAGGGAGCTATTGGTATTTAGGAAAAGTCAGAAATATTCAACAGCCTCAGACCAATAATTTTTAAGTTATGTAAAACAAACTACAAGGTTAAGTGAAATAAGTTTGTGTAAATACACAATTGCTGTGTTATTGAACTAATTAAAATTATAAATATTCTACAGTTTTATGGGTACCACTGTATACTAGTACCTGACTCCACTGGGTGAAGAGTACTAAGAGTACTGGGAGAAGAGTTGAACCCTGAAGTTGAATCTGAACCTTGATTCTCAGGATCCTTTAAAAGGGTAAAGGGTAATTTTACATGACCCTCCTTGCTTAAATGGCTATGCCCGATTTACAACGGTACCATTGAAACCTCAATCTGACTAGTTCTCTATTGCTTCTGACAAGCAAGAAATACGCAAGTCACTTTCTCATAGAACCCGCAAATTAAAATGAACAGCTTAAAGAAACAAAAACATAGATAGCTAATCCAATCCATACTTGATCATATTGCAACGCTTTTCAGGGTTCCGTTGTAAATCTCGGCAATGCCATCGTTGCATGGAGGGTAAAACTGTTATTGTTTTTATCAAATTAATAGTTTCGAAGAATACAAATATAAATCGATTTTTCAATTTCTACCGTGTGATTTTTTGCAATTTTTGCCACATAATCTTATTTTCTATCCCCTTATGTCGCATCCTGAAAGATCAACTTTAAACCGCAGATAATTAAAATGTTTGTTGAACCTGGATTGCTTTAGTGTAGGACGAATCTAGTCTGGGTTTGAAGTAAAAGATCTCCTCGGAGAAGGCAGGACGTTCTTCTTTCTCCGGAGACTTGGAGGTCTCATCAAACCTGACATAGATGCATAAGTATAATGCATCAAATATCTTATAAAATTAAAAACTTAAATTTAAAACAAAAAATTATAAAGTATACATAAAAGCACAACCAAAACTGTGAACCTTGCGCTTATCCTTTTCGAAAACTTTGATTTTACTTTATTTACTTAATTTTTTTTCTTCATTTTAAAATTTTTATATTTTAGATTATGTTTCTAATTCTTTAGATTTTAAAGTTTTTTTTGCGAAAAATCAAGACAGACCTGTTGTCCAAGTCTTTTGCTATATTCTCGAAAATATCTCGTTTAGTTGATACCCAGGCTGAGATCCAGCAGGCAGAGATAAGTCCAGCAAATATACAAATACAAAATAATCCAGTTCCAAGCAATATTAGTCTCCAGGCAACAACACCTAGATATTGATAAAAGTATTGAAAAAAAATCAGTGTTTGGAATTTTAAAAATTTAAAAAATTTCGATAAGTTTTAGAATAAAAGCTAAAAGTTTTAACATCAATCTAGTAAGAACTGAGACAATTTATCCTAAACTAATTTTCAATCTCTTAAATTAATTTTAGAGAGTTGAAATTATGAACTTTATCTCTGAGATATTTGAATTTGGCGCCTTGCAAATTCAACCAACCGCTAGGGGATCAGAAGGCGCTAGTATCGGCTTTGGCACCCATTTTCATTGGCTCAGTTTCATTTGCCATAGTATCTTTGCCATAATTACACTTTCCATAATATCTTTGCCATAAGTAACACTTGCCATAAGTTACGCTTGCCATAAGTCACACTTGCCATAAGTTACACTTGCCATAATTACACTTGCCATAATTACACTTGCCAAAATTACTTTTGTCATAATTTTCTGATTTTTAAAAAGATATAAATCTCTCTTTTTTTATTGCAAATGCGGGAAATTTTACCATGAAAATTCCCAACTTTAGTTTTCTCATTGTTTTTAGCAGACTAGTTGACTCAAGTTCAGCTCCATATTTCCTCACAATGGAGGACCGTTGAGACCACAAGTAAGGTTAAACCAATAGTTCGAGACAACAACAACTACACCTATGTAGACAATGCCTTGTCTACAGAAGTAAATTATTGGAAATGTTCGGCTAAAATGTGCTAAGCTATAATTCGAACCCGAATTCGAACTGTCTCTGAATTAGATTGTAATTTGTATTTAATTTGTAATTAAAAGATATATATATCTATATGTTTGTTAATTCTAACCAAATTTTAATTATGGCAAGTGTAATTATAGCAAGTTTAATTATGGCAAGTGGAACCATTATGGCAAATGTAATTTATGGCAAGTGTTACTTATGGCAAATGTATTATGGCAAATGTAATTATGGCAAAAGTATTTATGGCAAAAGTATTATGGCAAATGAAACTGAGCCTTTTCAATTGCTAGTTGTCGGCAAAAAGAGCACAGATTTACTCAGGGAAAATATACTCATGGTGGTTTGTTTAGTATACTTGTTTACTTTGTAAAATTGTTAAACTAAAGCTCAGAAAATCTAAATACATTTTTCATAGAAATTGTGCATGCATTTTTAAGCAACACCTTCACAATATGCGGGAACTATGCTTGGTTGACTCCAAGGAGAAGAGAAGACGACATCTTGTTCATCCTTTACTATTGCCTGAATCAAAAGACAAATGATGATGATTGTAATTAAACTAATTTTCCAGATAATATAAAAGAGATGTCAGATGGCAGATAATAATGAGATGTGATGTAATAATAATAATAATAATGATAATGATAATGATAATAATAATAATGATAATGATAATAATAATAATAATAATAATAATAACAATAATATAGTAAACAATTTAAAAATAGTTGCAGATTTTTTGCCTGTAACATTATAACTTGTATGTGTATTTTTAGCAATAAACTATATCTTATCTTATTTTATCTAACATTAATTAGAACCAAGTTTAGTGAAATGCTACAACCAATCTCACATATAAGAATACATAGCAAGAGCGCATGAAATGCCGTTTTGCAAATTATTTAAAAGTTTTAGACAGCTGTTATGCTTTATCATTGTTCTGCACACAAAGAAAGCTGCTCAGCTTCAGAGGGTTGACTACGATTTATGAAAATATCCTTGTTAGAGTAATTTTTTTATTGATAATTTATAAGAAACTACTTTATTATTTGTATTTCAAGGTAAAACACAGCAACTGATGTATTATTTGATCTTAAATAGGTTAAGAATATGACATTTTAAAAACCATTGCTATGTATTCATATATCAGGGATTCACTGTATCATACAGGGATACCCAGAAAAAATGAGACTGTAAAGACGACCTGAAACTCTTTAAATTAAATTATTTCCAGTTAAATTAAGTCTTCCGCCTTGAATGTAATCTTTTCATAGCTTATTTAATGATTAGGCAAAAAAATAAACAAGTTTACAGTTGCAGCCTTGTAAGGAATCATAAATATAAGAAAACAGAGAGTATAATTTGTCTACCATCGTCTCTGAAGTCTCATCCTTTGTAAATTATTCTGTTAAATTCAAAATTAGCATTACATCCCAAAATGTTTTTACATGCTATTAAAGTTCAATGAAATAATATCATATATTTTAAATTCAATAATAGCATTTGTTCCAACCTGAATGCTAAAGTTGTAAAGGGTTGTTATTGATGAATTCAAACAGATAGGACTCCACCCTGCTTCTCCCTGAACCTTATCCAGGTCCAGTAGGAGTACTGTATTTTCTCCAGGTATCTATATAATTACAAAGGTTGTTATTATTGAATTATAACAGTAAGGACTCCACCCTGCTTCTCCTTGAACCTTCTCCAGGTCCAGAAGGAGTACTGTATCTTCTCCAGGTATCTATATAATTATAAAGGTTTGTTATTGATGAATTATAACAGTGAAAACTTCACCCAGCTTCTCCTTGAACCTTCTCCAGGTCCAGGAGGAGTATCTTCTCCTGATGCAGGGTTACCCACAAAAAATGAGACTGTAAAGACTCGCGAAATATGCACGATGTTTTCTAGGTTGAATTAAGTCCTTGAAAGGGAGTGGACCGAATGGGCTGAATTTTTTTAGGAAACACTTGAGTGCTTCTGGTGTAGCAAAGGTTAAAATAATCAACGTTTTTTTTCAAAATTAAAATTTTTGAGATCGAAATTTAAAAAAAAAAGTTTATTCCTTAAATTTCAAGGATCTTGGAGAATGATTTATTCAATGAATGTTCGAAAGTTCAGCGCCATCTGTGAAAACAAGTTTTAAGTGTTCAGTAAAAAAACAAACAAAAACTATTATGAAATATCAACTATATCCAAATTTATCGAACTCAATTCGACAACTGTAGGTTTGGTAGGTAGGGATTGCATAATCCCCTTTATTTTGCATGAATGACTGGAGGGAGATTGAATTTTCTCATTTAATTGTATAAATGACTGGAGGGAGATTGTATTTTCTCATTTAATTGTATAAATGACTGGAGGGAGATTGCATTTTCCCCATTTAGTTGTATAAATGACAGGAGGGAGATTGCATTTTCACCATTTAGTTGTATAAATGACGTTTACCTCTTCTGTATAGTTTCCTTCGTCTGCTCTGTCAATTAAAAGCTTCCAGAGATAAACTCGTTCACCACCAATCTATTAGTACATGGTTACCCATAAAAAATGGGACCTTAAAGGGAAATGTCCAATTAACAACGGTATCATTAAAACTATTCCTGATTAACTATAAAAATGTATCCAAGTTCTTCTTATAAAATTTATTGATTTCTATCATTTGTTTCTCAATAAAAGTGGCTTGTGGATTTCTGTTTTGTAGAAAAAATTGAGTAAAAGTTCAGAATCAAACACTTTATTTTCTCGTTATTGAACAGGCAAATGTCTACAGGGTAACGCTGTGAATAGGACAGACCCCTCCGATAGTGTTCTTTCAGGAAGAACAAAAAAGCCCTAAATATGTATTTTGAATAGAATGGTTAGCAATGAAAGACAAATGTACTGCAGTAGGGAAACAGGAAAAAGACTAAATAAATTTAGTTTTATCGAATTTGAAGTCTCCTCCCACGTGGAAAACATTGTAAATGGGTGGAGGGTGGAGAGTTTATTATATTGCCTTAGATTTAAAAAGATTTAAAAATATCGTCTGACATTATATCTACCTTGAACTTTGTGTTATACAGGGTTACCCACAAAGAATGAAACTTTAATGACAACTGTTTGGAATTTATACTGTCTGGAAACTTGTTTCTCTCTTTGCTAAATCCCTTGATATATGCTATGAAAAGACTATGTTCAAGACAGAAGACTTGATTTAACCCTGGGATCATCATATTTTAAGAGTTAGGTCGTCTTTACAGACTCATCCTTTTCAGGTAACCCTATACCTTAAACTTTGTGTTCCATGATACAGATATGATACTGGTGTTTAAGAAGACGACATTTGGAGCCCCCGGTTCTTCAGGTCTTCCCGTCAAAGTTCTTGAAACACATTTTTGCTTAATGTTTTTTTTTTGTAAAAATAGAAAATTTACACTTTTTACATTTAGTTTTCAAATAACAAGATGAAGAAAAGAATTTTCCGTTTTGAGCAAAAATTTCCTAAAACTATAAAGATGCGAGAATTGACTGCATGAAATTGTACATCCTGATACCTGATAGAAAATGAATATTATTAAAATCTATATATGTATAACACTTTGCTTGTTGGGTGTCTGTCCGTTTGTATTGTCAAAACGGATGAACCGAACGGGCTTAAATGTTGTATGGGACCGCACATGATCCATGGATTAAGGTTTACGGATGCTCAAAATTACAAAAATTTGTGTCTAAAAGTTTTTGATTTTTTAAATTTAGAAAATGCGCAAAAAATATAATTAAATCTGCAAATTTTTTTGTTATTCTTTTAAATAGTGCAAAGAGAAGGTGCTCGACTGAGATTAAAAGTTGAATAGAAGATGGGCGCAAAGCACCATAAAAGTCTAGTTTTTTAAATCAATGACCTCGTTCAGTTATTAGCTAGGAACTCATTCATGAAATGTCGTCTTATGCGCAATCTATCTTAATTTATGATTTTAACTACTGAACATTTAAACATTGGATTTTAAACATTTGTACAAACAGGCAATGATTTTGATGATACAAATGATTTTTTTTTCAGAAATAGATGATTTATATGGTTTTGTTTTATAAATTGATATTTAAACAAAATACTTCATTTCTCTCGTAATGTTGAATGCAAAAAAATGACAGACCACTTTTCGGAAAATACAAGAAAATTCGCTCAGACTTTTGTGATTATTGTTTTAAAAATCATATGTAAAATAAAATTTACGAATAAATGCCGCAAATTATTTTAAAGATCAAAGACGACACTGCACTATTGTACCTGGACAGAATAGTTTGTGAAAGGGTCTAGAGAATCCAACAACAGTTTATATTTTCGACTTAGCCTTGTTTGAGGTTCAGGTTCAAGTTCAGGTTCAGGTTCAGTTTCAGTTCCAGGTTCAGTTTCAGGTATATGATAAAGAGTGGATTTAGGATAAAGAACAAGATCATGTTCATGAGAAGGTTCAGGTTCAGATCCGTGTGGAAGAATAGGTTTAGGATAAAGAGCAAGATTATGTTCATGAGGAGGTTCAGGTTCAATATCAGGGGTTGGTTTTACATAAACCTCAACACTTCTGATCAGATTTACCCTTAGCTCGTCAAAAACACGAACCTAAAATATAAAGAAATTCAACATATTCAAAACCAGCCAAACATTTAAAGGGTTTTATATATTTCCCCCGGATCAAGGCTATGAAACCTTTCGTGAAGCTGTTAAAAATGATAAGATGTTAATTTTCTTAATGAGCAGGCCTTGAAAATTTTGACTTATTGTACATGTATCACACTCCCATATCTCAATCCTTAGACAAAAATAGCCCTGACTGGATAGGGTTAACAAAATTAAATGTATAATAATGTTAGGATTTATCTGGCGTCAAGAAGAAAACAAAAAAGATTGGGTTCCTTTTTTTACCAAGTATTTTGAAATAATTCCATTTGGTTCCAGAGGATCTTTCCAAGATAGAACTGCAGAGTAGGGTTCAATGTTCCTTGAATAAAAAGTTAAGATAATATAGTTGTTTCTACAATGAAGTTATCTAAGACGACCTTTTCAGTCATAACCAGAATAATGCTAAAGAAATGTTTTACATTTTAATTACAAATAGAGGTTAAAGTTTTGTGATTTTTTATCAGACATGAATGACAGGACACCCTTAAAATGTAGATTCACTTGAAAAATTTGTCTACAGTCCCTTTAAGTATTAAAAATATCTACCTGATTGTAATATTGGTTGGAGGTGAGCTGGGAGAGGATTGAAGGGTTTCCACCAATACTGGAGAACTAGCGTCTCCTAGTCCTTCACTAGTCGCAACATAAACCAGAACCTATATATATATATATATATATATATATATATTTATATATCCTTCACTAGTCGCAACATAAACCAGAACCTATATATATATATCCTTCACAAGTCAAAACATAAACCAGAACCTATATATATATATATATATATCCTTCACTAATCACAGCATAAACCAGAACCTATATATATATCCTTCACTAGTCACAACATAAACCAGAACCAATATATATATATCCTTCACTAGTCGCAACATAAACCAGCACCTATTTATATATCCTTCACTAGTCGCAACATAAGCCATAAGTCATAACCTATATATATATCCTTCACTAATCACAACATAAACCAGAACCTATATATATATCCTTCACTAGTCACAACATAAACCAGAACCTATATATATATAGTCGCAACATAAGCCATAAGTCATAACCTATATATATATCCTTCACTAATCACAACATAAACCAGAACCTATATATATATCCTTCACTAGTCACAACATAAACCAGAACCTATATATATATATATATCCTTCACTAATCACAACATAAACCAGAACCTATATGTATATATTCATATAGATATATATACTGGTTTAGTCCGCTAAACTTGAGCACTCTGTGGTATGAATAGGTGTACTAATCAGAATTAAGCAAGGCCCTCCACTATTAATGAGTTGGTTGAGCTCTCTGGTCCCTAATTCATTACCCAATCTTCAGGGTTTGATCTATAATCCAAGGATTCATGGTTCAAGCCCCGCCAACTGCAAAATCAAAAACTAATGAATTGAGCCGTACTGATGAGTCCTAATAGGACGAAACACTGTTTCTGTGGATATATATATATTGTCTTGGTTTATGTTGTTACCAGTAAAGTATATATATATATATATGTATCCGGTTTTTCGGCTGCAGTTTAAACATCATTTTCGAGAGATCAAAACACGGAGTTCTCTGCCCTCGATGATCAGTTAAATGTTTAAAGGTTACATTTCCTCCTTGCATGACGAGTAACTTGATAATACGTGTACATTCCCTTTAAATCGTCAGTAGTATTCTACTTGAATTTTACCTGATAAATTGTGAATGGTTTTAGGTTTTGTATCTTGGTTCTAGTATTTTCCGGATTTATCTGATAACAAATATTGCACAATTTGATCATATAATTACAGGGTTAGGAACATTATTCAGTCATTTTTTACATTATGGATACTTGGGTAACATTAATTTCAATCTTCAGAATGCATTATACAATGAGTTTTGACTGAATCCAAGGTGGCCCCACAAATAGTTGATACATATGAGACACTATGCAGACATAGTTTTAGGAAATAAAGAAAGGTTAACTCACATAGATTATCAAGTACAATAGGTGGCAACAGAGAAATGAATCAATTATACATGACGTCACAAGTGTCAAATATAACAAGGAAAACACAAGTCTCTTCCATTAGTTGACATGTTTTCCAAGATTAAATAAGAAAAATGTAAAAACAAAAAATAAAGAACACATGGAGTTGCACTTATTTTACCATGAAATAAGCACTTTATTCTAAAATCATCACTATCATTAATAATTTTGTCGGACACAAAAACTAAGTTGACACTTGTGACGACAGATTACAAATGTACTGAGAGTGTACAAATTCTACGTTGCCAGTTAAAATTGCATAAATTAAAGTTTGTTGAAAATTGGTAAGATATCTTTTAAAAAGTTCTTTGTCATGTCTCGTGGTCCGTGCATGCAGATAAAAAAATATTGAATTACAAAATTATTATGAAGAGAATTTGACAAATGCTTTACCTCTATTATTTTTGCTTTTCCTAAGCATTTGTTAACATTACTGCGATGCACTCTACAGTAGTGAACTTCAAAGTATTGTACAGCTCCTATTCTAATATAATAATACTTTGGAATAGGATTTTAAAATTACATCAGTAGAATTTTTTATGTCGTCTTTTATGAAAATCAGTGTCCGAATTTAATGAATTTAAGCCCCGTCTCAAATTCCCCAAAAACTGGTTTCAATTGAGCGCCGGCTTAAATCTTGAAAAATGTAATACAAATTTAAGCGGAACCAACAAAATTTGAGTCACGACTCAAATTTAAACTTCGGCTCAAATTCTTTGAAAAAAAATAAAATTTAAGTCATTTCCTTAATTCTAATTTTTCATTAATATATATATTCCTATCTGAACATTCATTTCTCCATTCAACAATCATAGATCTGAAAAATAAAATTATGTTATTTCAAAACTAAATTATAGCTTCCCAACCTCAATAATGTAAAAAAACCAACTACATTTCTTACTTTGAATTTGTGTACTCTAGAGATAAAGAACAAATTAAGCCAATTCAGATTGAGAAAATCATGATTATTAAAGGGACTGTAAAGGAAAAATGAAAGGGGGTATAGGCTGAAAACTAACTTACTTAAGTGTTGATCGAAAGCCTTGCAAGTTCTATCTGATGTTCCTGTCTCGAGAAATTGATATAAAACTGTATTAAATGTATACCATAATTCATATATATACAATGTTGTATAGAACTAGTAGGTTTAAATAGATCATATTTAGCAAATACGCGACCAATCTGAAAACAACGATATTCCAGAGGAGCCTAAGTAACTTAGGTTTGCTCCTATTATTATTTGAATTTAATAATTTTTCATTTTTGATATATTCAATTCATAATATAATTATTACGTCCGTATCACATGACCAGAGTTCTGGTCACGTGATACGGACGTATTTATTATATTGTAAAAGCAATAATTTGATTCTCTATGAAAGTTAAGAATGCTCGAGAAATATGAGAAAAATCCGGGAACAGGAAAACTGGAATCCATATCAATAATATCTATTAAAAATGAAAGACAAAAATTTTAAAATTATAATAAGAGCAAACCTAAGTTACTTAGGCTCCTCTGGGATTTCGTCGATTTCAGATTGGTTGTGTATTTGCTGAAAATGATTTTTAATCCTATTATTTTTATACATTGGGATATTCCGATTTTGGTATAAATTCAACACCGTTTTTTATCAATTTCTCGAGACAGGAACATCAGATAGATGTCATATATGTATCGTTTAACGCCTGAGATTCTCAGGTTTGAGTCTATACCCCCTTTCATTTTCCTTTACAGTCCCTTTAATTAATCTCTATTAAAGTGCTATTGCAAAGAATGAAAATGTTTTGAGTTTCTAATTTGTAAAATCAAAAATCAAAACCAGAGATGATACTAGGTTACAAAGTCGTACCTGGACTGTTTTGAAGGGATTCGTACATTCTTCAATTGAGAGACTATACCATCCTGCATTAAATATACAGGGTGTCCCAATAAACATAGTAATTTATTGACAAATTCGATATCGTCTTATTAAATAATTCTTAGATTTAGTATAGTGATACCTACTGAGAAAGCTGTGATCCGTAAAATTTTCGTCTGCTATGTTTACAATTTGTTTATTTATGTTTTGACTGCATAAGGATGTACTTAGTAAAACAAGAAAATTACAGTGTACAAAAAGAGTAACCTTGTCCGTCTTCACTGTTCATCTTGTGGAGACATTATAGACACATCTTTACAGCCATTTACCGTTTTCATAAATAAACTCTAGCAGACATAATAATATTATTGCTTTTGAAATCCGGTATTACTAATTCATAACAAAGATGATATCGAATTCGTCATGGAATTCCCATGTTTATTGGGACACCCTGTATATACATCCTTTCCTACTTTGCTGGTTTTCACAAATTTTATATATTTGTATTATTTTCTTGGCGTTGATAAGCTTTTGTCTTACTATATATTATATTAATATCAAAGTCCATGTTTTTTTGCATAACTTTGCAATCCTTGGAGTGGAACGAATGAAAGTTTTTCAAAAATGAATTCGAATAAGTTACCCAAGGCACACTGGAATTCACTCTGGGTGGTGAACTAATTCAGAATTTTTCGCATAGCTGATAACCCCGATGTAATTTTTCAGAGGGGAGCGATTATACTCCATGGCTCAGCTGTGTATCCACCCCTGATTTATGCTCCTATATGCTAGGATTGTCCGTCAAAAAACAGAGCAGTGCAATTTTTCGTAAAATAAATCTTTTTACTTATATAGTTTTATTTTACCACCAAGGAAGGCTGGCAATTTTATAAGATAAGTTGAGTTAATACTATAAAAATCCTATTGAAAAATTCAATAAAATTTTCTCTCGGTATGATATTGCAACAGTGTATTTTGGATACATTATAAGTGGAAACCAAACAAGTGAACAATTATAAAAAAGAAAAACTTAAGTTTCGATTCAAAACCGTCATATAATAGGAAACAAAGCAATTACGTTCCGTTAATTGTGCAGTTTTAATCTGCTGATAAAACTTATTATAACAAAACAGACAAAATTGCTTAAATGACTGATCTTTCTATTGCAAAGTTTAAAGGGTTTCACAGTAAATACAGACCTAGAACATAACTACATAGCAGCTTTACATATTTAGGCTTACCATGACGTCAAACTTAAATTAAGGAATTGAGTCTTTTCCACAAACTCTGATTTTTTAATTTCTATATCTTTACAACCAATGTTGTAGACCTTAGCTATTTCAAACTATGACTTCTGTTATATCAAATAATCTAAATTTGAAATATCAAAGGATGACATCATCTGGTTGTAAAAATATAGGCATTAAAAATCGGTATGTGTGGCAAAGACTCAATTATTTTTACGTAATATTGAAATCTGTGTCCGAACTTAATGAATTAATCACCATCTTAAATCCCTAAAAAACCGGTTTCAATTGAACGCCGGCTTAAATCTGGAAAAATACAATACAACTTTAAGTGTAATTCCAACCATATTTGAGCCGCGGCTCAAGTTTGTTAATTCGTCCTCTGATGTATTTTTATTCATAACTCCTCTTACTGATTACTGATTAGCTATATGAGAAGAACAAAATGTTTTGAATTTATAAAATGTAAGGATTAAATTTGTTCCTTCTATACTTGTGCTAAAATCAAAACTACAGAAGCTACGAGGTCACAAAGTCGTACCAAATATTTCCCATTATTTATACATTTTCCTTTTGTATAGAGTTCAACGCACTGGGTCCACCACATACAGGGCACTCTAGAAGGGCTTGTACAAGTAAACACTACACCCGGTTCTGATCATGAAACGTTTAAACTTATGTGTACCTGCTTAACCGTACACTGTGACCAGACCATACCACTAGATACACTGGGTAGATTGGCCGACACAGCTAGCAGGTATACCAGGCTTCTGCTCAGGTTTAATGTCACAGTTTGTGTCACATTCATAGTTTGTTTATGGTCTATCCAACTCAGTTTACCGCTGCACTTTGAATCTGCTTCACTAAACAGGATTTTAAAGGATAGTAAACTTATTTGAAAATATACATTCGACATTCAAACATTGATCAAGTCTGCTTAGAAAAAATCTTAAAAGTTTTTAGGACAGGGGTCGACTTAGGCATTGGTTTTACCGCTCTCTAACTTACTTATGCTTTTCTGTAGCCCTTTAAGTTTAAACTTGCAAAAAAATAAAATTACATTAGCTGTTTCAGAGTTAAACAAATAAGAGCATGCAAGGTAAGTTTAAACTTGCAATAAACTAAAATTACATCAGCTGTTTCAGAGTTAAACAAATAAGAGCATGCAAGGTAAGTTTAAACTTGCGAGGAACTAACATGCAAGAAGATAAATTTCCATACAGTCTATGAAGGTGCAATGGGTACAATGGTGCAAAACTTGATCTGAGCTGGCTAACTTATCTTTACGAATTCAAAATTTATGTTTTTTGCGTGCTACAGAAAAAAAGTAGTCTTGGCAGGGTAAAATGTTTATTTTCTTGTGATATAATGTATATCAAAAGAATAATACAAATTTTCCGCATTTTGACTATTCGCGTGTTTATAACAATATGGGCGCACTGTCCAAAAGGCTATTTTTTTTTAATAATTAACATAAAAACATATTTTTTATAATTATAAAAATATTACAATACACATTTTTTCAACATTTTCAAAAATTAAATAATGTTTAATTTAGATTACCTTAAAGTTGAACAGAAGAAAACAGTGTATGAAGTTATGTTGTGGAAGTGCTCTGGACGAATCCAAGATATTTCATGTACACCCTAAACTCGGATTAATTTTAACTATATGTAAAGGGAGTGACTGGCCAGAAATGGTAGTTGAAATTAGAGAAGTGCAGTATTTGTGATACTCTCAGTTCAACTACCATACCTAGCTAGTCACTCCCTTTAAGAGACTGGTCATGGGTTTGGGTGATTGAATATGTAGCTAGCTAACAATATAATCAACAAAGTTGATATCGGCTTTTTCTTTTAAAAACTGTTTTGGCTTTTATGTTTTATCTGTAGGTTTTCTGGAAGCTATATTTTTGTAGAGGCAAATTTATTCATTTGCATGCTTGCATGGTAATATACTACTCAAAAATTCAAAACTTTATAGGGTTAACCACAAAGCATGAGACGACTGTACGAAATATGTCTGTTTCCGTATATTCATGATTCTCTGCAGCTAAAGGTTTCATGCTTTCAAGCAGAAACCGTTGATAATTTTCCCAATTACCTCTAAAAACATCAAGTTCTCTATAGTGCTAAACTGTACATTTAAAGGGCTACAGAAAAGCAAAAGTGAGTTAGAACTGTAAAATCTAAGCCCAAGGGGTTGCTACACTTCAAAGTCGACCCTGTCTTAAAAATTGATGAGACTGTTTATAAGCAGGCGTAATCTATCTAAGTTAACTTATTTTTATTTTTGTCAAATCATTTAATAATCCGTTTAAAGACCACGTTCAAGGTAAAATACTTAATTTATTAACCTTAGGATCGTCATATTTGAACAGTTTCAAGTTACCCTGATACTCATCCTTTGTGGGTGACCCTTTATAGTGTTTGGTAAAAATAATAATACTTACATGATTACGAATAATTTTTGTGACAGCTCTAGGTTGAATGTGCTTGATAAGATCAGGTTTAGGGATCTTTAGAACTGAAGGTTCAGGAGAAAAACCTTCACTGTTCATTGAGTAAATCTTGAACCTCAAGTCTTCATTCTCCGATACATTCCTGAATCAATATTTTTCTTTGTTTTTGAAATAATGTAATATAATATAATTCTTTAAAGGGACTGTAGTCGTTGTGACTTTTTATTTATAGAGAACTAGCTGAAGTGCCCGGCGTTGCCAGTGGAAGATAAAAATATACGCACAGTTACCCATGAGTGTCCACAAAAAATTAAAGCACATTCGGTCAGCTTCGTCTAGAACTTTTTTCTATCATATCATCCATGAGTTCCCAGATTTGGTGACAATATACTTACGTAAAGGTTGCATATGAACTTGATACTTGTTGTTTATTATTCTCCAGTATTGTACTGCAGAGTCTAGATTGTACTGTACTGCAAAGTACAGTGTACCCGAACCCAGGACCGTTTTTCTCCCAATTCTCTAAACTTTCCCAGTACAGGTTTATCACGGGACCCTACAGTGATAACCATTAAACTCAGGAATAGGAAGCCGACTCGTAGGCTCAAGTTATGACTTTACAAAACACAGTAATTGTGCAGTATAAACAGAACCATTTAACTTAGTTAACGAGTTAATAGTAAAAAATATTTGCTTTAAAAAAAAAACATAAAATACACTCAATTATTGCTTTCATATCGTCTTCCTATTCTACAGTTTTCTGGTTCTTACAATATTTTCATTGAAATAGATTTAAATCTAAAAAAAATTTGAATCAATTTCAACAATTGGCAATTACATAATTTCACACAATAGATTCATCAACACAAATTATTTATATAAAATAAGATTATTAGATCAAAAAATCAAGTAAATAAAATTTGTATAAAGCCATGTCTTTTTATAAACAAAAATAATATTCTGTAATAAAAAGAATTAGATAGATACTTAAAAGTAATATAAAATCAACAAAAAACAAAACCTGAGATGTTTTTATCAGCTCAAAACTTCCAGGACACACTCCTGGTGATCTAAAATAACCATTTTAAACATAAATAAAAAAATATGAAATGTTTTTGAATTTTTATTAATTCCAAACTTTATTTATCATTGTTACGTTAGTTTCAATGATTTGATACAAGGAAAAACTTTTGTTTGTTGATTGTTGAAAATTACTTTTCATTTTTGATTAAATAGGTTATTATTAACCAGTCAAGTGATATAGGTAGAAAGGGGTGTGCTTGGTTTACTACAGTGAGTAGGACCCATAAAAGAGGGATATGAAGAAGACAGTCAATCAATCTTATGCGCGCATTTGCTGTTGTTAAAAGGAAAGAGACAATTGCTGTGCTTCAAGTTCATAGAACTATCTAAAGTCATAACTTTAGTCAAACAGTCCTTTCCCTCTTTCACATTTTTATGTGTCCCAAATATTAAAATAGCTCAATAATATGTTTTATTATAAACAAAAACATAAATATAAAAAAGCTTGGAATTCCTATAATGTTATTGCGAAATGAAATGTCCATAAGCTTTAAGTGCAAAGATGACAATGCCCGATTCACAACGGTACCATTGAAACCTTTTTTTGATCAGTAATATGAAAGCCGAAGATGTTGTCGCTTAATACAAAGCTTTTAAGAGTTCCTTTCTAAATCGAGCAATGCCATCTTTGTATGGAAGGTCAATTGAAGTTACGCTTACAGTCCCTTTAAGTATTGTTTCTTTACTATTCAAAATCTGGATACGAAAAACATATTTTCCCATTTCCCAGACCGGATTTAATGAATGGCGAGAAATAATTGACTTGACTTAAAACCGACCTTGGTTGGTTTAAAGTGGAGAATAAGGCTCAATGTTGAGTATTTTTCTCATAAAAACCCGAAATGCGTCAAGTCCTGCCATGAAAATCCGCCAAATAGAACTTAACTCTGTGGAAAATAAGATGCAGCGTGATCCAAAAGCTTAAACAGTAACTAACTTTTCCGAATTTTTTAAATCGCGGGCTCAGCTATGTCCGACAGGTTTAAAGGGTTGCTTTGTTAATTAGGGATGCTCCTCTTTAAATTAAAGGTCACTTGAATTTACGCTAGCAGGCCCTTTAAAAATTAAAACCTGTAAGGTGGAGCAGGTTTAGTTCTAAACACATCAGTACATTGTTCCGACCAGTACACATCTTTATCAGAGTACACATCTTTGCCAAAGTACACATCTTTATCAGAGTACACATCTTTATCAGAGTACAGATCTTTATCAGAGTACACATCTTTATCAGAGTACACATCTTTATCAGAGTACACATCATTATCAGAGTACATATCATTATCAGAGTACACATCTTTATCAGAGTACACATCTTTGCCAAAGTACAAATCAATCTTTGAGATTACATCTTTGTGGGAGTATATTTCAAGTCCTGATTTTAATCTGACAGACACATTTATATTTTGCCAGGGCCCTAGATCCTCTATTTTCACAACTCTTTTGATGTTCTAAAAATATCAAATTATGTTTGCAAATTATCTTTGTATTCTGTTCTAAAAATGCAATGCAGTGAGAACCAGAAAATTATGGAATACTAAAGTGTAACTGATGTTGTTACACAGCAAGTAGTTTTATCAATAACTTATAATTTAAATTGGTCTGTTTTCACTACACTTTTTATATGTTCTTATACCGTGAATCTCAGATTATGAATACATAGCAAGAGATTTTTTATAATGTCGTGTTAAATATTTAAGATCAAATGCCGCGGAAAAATGAGTTTCTTTAAAATTATCAAAAAACTTATGAGGGTCTATGAATTCATATATCTGGGATTCAAAAGTCGTCTTGCTATTTTAGAGTTTCTGGTTCTGGTTTTTCGGCATTTATAAAGTGGCATGCCCGTTTCCCAACAGTATCATTTAGATCTTTGTTTGAGCAAAAATTATGGATTTATCACTCTTTTTCTACCTGAACATTTGTTAATATTGATTGCATTTCTACATAACAGTGGTTTGTGTGGATTTTCTCACTGTTTCTCATGGGCAAAAGTTTAAAGGTACCGTTGTGAATCAGACATTTCACTTTAATTAGAAGGACATTTGAAATTACTTTTTTCCAAATTAAAAATTTAAATCTTACATGTGTGAAAACTGATTTAAGTTTTGTCCATTTGTCTGCGTATTCTGTTCTGAAAAAAAAACTTTTAAATGTTTCTAAAATATAATTTAATTATTTCTGATCCAACCTGTACTGGATTTCATGCACTAGCCCAGGATCAAATCCACTGATACAGATCATATTCTCATCTTGGAGCATTCATTACAAGGAAATAAAGAATACGAAAAACTTAAGTAAATTCCAGGTTATATTGAAGAGGAGCTAGGCACCAATGATGTACAGGGTGTCCCACGAAACATGAAAGGTGAATAGGTTTTATGTCTTCTTCAATATATACTGTATTAGATACTTTTTTCTTGTTTATTTTGTTTAAAAAATCTTCGGAGAAATCGAAGGAATTTTAAAATGTCGTTTTCTTAACCTACTGATATTGGAAAGCCGCATTATTAAAAAAAAATAAAATAGTTATATATATATGGAAATCTTTTAAACTGTACACGCATATTTCATAACTATTCATCTGTTAAAAAATTTGACAATTTTTCAATGAGTTTTATACTATATTACGTAAATTTCAGTATTTGCGAAAATAAATTAATAGCCATGAATATGCGGGAACAGGTTTAAAGAGTTCCATATAATTATTTAATTTAAAAAAATAAATATCTGCAACATTCCATTATCAGAAAGTGAAGAATACGACATTTGATAATTTCTTTCACTGTATAAAGACGACATTTTATAAATTATTTCCATTTCTCCGAAGTGCTGGATTAAACTGAAAAAAAATTGCTAAAAGAATGAGAATGGTTCCTGAGTTCTACTGGGATTGAATAAGAAAATTGAATTGAGGAAACTGTATTCTGTTCTTCAGTTAGACTAGAGACAGGTCCTGGAACAACTAAAACAAGAAAATGAAAATAATAGCGATTACTAAATAACGGATAAACGTTATCAATT